AGCAATATACATACAAGTAAGAATTTATCGGTGCTTTTAAAGGTATTGGGAGGTTCGTGTATTTCATGGGAAAGCCCGCGCTATGAACGAGGTCACTTAGATAATTCACCGGGCAAGAGTAAGAACCATATTGATCGGTAAACGCTGGAGTCAATGGACTCAGGTTTTGACGGTATCCTGCACATAGTACATCAAGAGCTGGTGATATGAAAATTAGATTCGGTGCTAATGTAAATAAAACTGCGGTTTAGAAACATCTTAAAAACCTGCACTGCAGATTCAATTATTGAAATAGGTTCAGTTTTAAGCATCGTCAATAGCTTTAAAGGTTATAATACAATGCCTAAAAACATGACATGCATAAAAAAAACCTTTTGATTCGAAGCTCGCCAATTTATAGCTGAAAATACACGGCGAGTGGAAGTTCACTTTATTGCAACAAAGATCCATAATCGTTTAACGTAATTCAGTTAAACTAAAATTATCCGTTTCAAATTAGCGCCTTTACTTTCAGAGATGCTAAATATTTAAATCCCAATAAATTTAAGAGAATAAAGCGAAGGTATGTTGTTTTCCAGACGAACCGAATGAAATTGTTCAATCAAGACAATGTCTTACTGAACACTAATTTCAGCAAAGTCAATACCTGTAGAAGGGATTGATTGGATTTAGCTTAATGAAAACATAGGAATCTCTCAGTAACCGAGGTTCCGTGTAGACTAAACCTTTGACTATGTACTAAAGATATAGGTACATCAACGTGTTCTTTCTAGAAATCCCAAGATCTTATTATCGGGGTAAATGTGTTTGTAGTGTTTAAGTACAAAATAACTGGGTACAATTGACACACTCACAGATGTAGCTGTGCTTTTATCAAATATCATTAAATTTTTCGATATTATTTTAATATTTCCTCACTAAAAGAAGAAACTTATAATAAACTAAGCACATGTCTCATAAACTCATTGAATCATAGAATACAAATATTAATGATGAAATAAATATCCAATACTGTATATAGAGGGTGTTTCACAATTCGTGTCGGATATTTTAGGGTATTCCTGGGTAGAAACATATCCAAATATCATATTTAAATTGTCCGGAAGTCCTTAGTTACTCACTCAGCCACCGTTTGTGTCAGTTATTAATTGTTTTCTAAACAATAATAAAATGTTAGATATCCCCAAAAATGTTTATTTTATCAATTATCGATCATTAGGATGGCTTAAAAATTGCTAACTTTTTTACTGCCTTTCAAATATACACAAAAACCCAAACTTTTTCAGCTGTGGTGAAAGTCAACGTACTTGTTTACAAACTAATCAGCTGATTTTATTGTTGTCTGAAAATGTTATTGTTTATTCAATGCAGTCAGTTCCTCTAACCTTTTACACTGTTTGTACACTTTTACTTTGTAATAAAGTATGTTTACTTTCACCACAGCTGATAAAAACGTTTGGGGGTTTCGTGTGAATTTTAAAGACAGTAAAAATGTGTGCGATTTTATGCCATCCTAAGAATAGATAATCATAAAAAACACTTTTAGGGTTATGTAACATCTTATTATTATTTGAAATAATCTAAAATCGCTTAAAAATATGCAATGATGTCTACGTGTGTATCTTAAGATAAACAAATAAGCTATGGAGTTACAAATTATGTCAAACAAACATTTATTTTTGTAGGAGGATTGTCAACAGTTCAAAATTAACAAATTTAACTAACGCATGACTAGAAGGAAGTATCTCTCAATTATATTATATACAAAAAGAGAGTATCCTTTGCCTTGACTGTGCCAATATAAATAAAACTCTTGTCGGTTGTGAAACTTATATTTTTTCTTGTTAAATGGACTTAACGTAGCATTATCACTTTACTACAAACAATTAGTGATTTTTTTACTGAAAGGATAATGCCTTTGACTATTGACTACAACTTCTGTATCCAATAGTCAATGATGATGAATTTTAATTGAGGAAGAAATAGAACACAATGAACGAGTTGTGTTTCCAAGAATAAGCTAATGATTCACAATGTAGCCTACAGTAGTAGACCTGGACTTGGCATCTTCGCCTGACATGCGCGTAGCGATCTTTGCACCTGTCCTACGTTTACATAACGCGAACTAAACGCACAATTCTACTGCAATATCGTATCTCAAAATACAGTACTAAGAACTGCAAGCACACTGATATAATAACGCTTTCATAAGGAGGAAGTGGAAGGATGTTGCCTAATTTTTTTCATGAATCATTGTAAGTCAATGGTGCGCTGCAGGTCTGTTGAGTGGTCTAGTACAATAGTGGTTAGAGAGCGACACACGTTTTTTATAAAAAATACCCCCGCCACAGCAAACCTTCCGACTAAAAGTATTTCCATTCATCTTAATTGATTTTCAATTAAATTTAAATTTTAACAAGTACCTAGGTTCGCTGCTACAGGGAAACTAATAAAGCGTGTTCTTCATTAAAATATTAATAGCTTAAAATAAATAAACCTGCCAAGTTTGATCAAAACATATCCATAAACAAAACGACTACCTACAACTTTTTCAAACAAATTCTCCATAAGAATAACATGGAAATTTTAATTGAAATTTTTTTTTTCTACGTAACCAATAACCGAACAAAACCCCATTGATATTCTAAATTATTTGTTTTTAAGCCCTTTAAAAAGATCCGGAGAAAAATTCATCAAAATCGGACAAAAATTAGTCAAGTTATCGTCCGGACGGACGCTTATTGACAGTTCCAGTTGGCAATAACCTGTTTACTTTCGGGCCAGTGATGTCAATTGATTATGTTTATGATCCATACCGTTTCTGTAGTAATGTTCGTGGTAGTTACCACTTAACTAGTGTATGTATGAGCGTCATCGGCGTCATCGTTGAATGTAATTGTTTCCATAGAGGGCAATCATATTTACATAAGAAATTTTCCTTTCGAATGTTTGTAGACCCACGTGATATATACATGGCGAGAGGATATATACATATACATTAAGCATAACATACATTAAACATATACATATACATATGTATATGTAAGTATATATACATATACATGGAGGATATATACATATACGATGTGCATATACCTCATGTCCACCGGCTCCATCATTAACATTTTATGTGAAATTTCGACTCATTAGATTATTTTGTTTACCAATAACAAACGGACACAAGAAATTGTCTCTTCTTGTTATGGATCACTTTATTTAAAAATATATATATAAACAGACTACAGTAGGGTTTATGAAAACTGAGTAAGGATTCGTACGTTTCCATCCTAAGTGTTACCAACATGAAATTATATTTTGAACCAATAAATTTACAGTCTGCTCCGCAAATTCTTTACTGAATCTGTCAAACAGATTTATTGATTGAACCAACGAGTATAAAGCAAAATTTAAAGTGAACCCCTATGTGCAGTAAACCTAGTACATTTTAAAATAAGAGATTTTGGACGTAACAAGTGGCAACAGTAACATCTTTGGTTTGAACAGAGACGCTAACGAGAACCAACTGAATGTGTTTCATGTAAAGTTTGTTGACTGTTCGCTTTGTAAAGAGAACTGAGGCAAACCGTCCTTGAGGCAAATTAGCCTCAGCCTGTGTTCAGACTCCGAGACCGACAACTATGCGTTGTGGTCCACGCTAAAACACTACGCAATCAAAAACGGGCGCACATGAAAAGAGCCCAAAAACTCAGGCAGACGCTTGAAAAGCGCCCGGACCTCCAAGGTCCCAACCAGGACGGTGCGAAAAGAGCCCGGTCTCTTTCTAGAACTTTCACAACGGGTCTTCAAAATATAAAGAACTAATCACACAGTTAAATTACACGAAATTATTAAAAAATACACTGTTAATAGATACATTAATAACATATATATTATTCAAAGATATTTACATTACTAAAAGATATAGTCTGTTTACCTAACCTAACCTAACCTAACCCAACCTAACCCAACCTAACTTAACCTAACCCAACCAAACACAACACTATTCACTAAAACACTACTATATATACACAATACACACAATTTATAGTCAGCTTCCTCCTCCTCAGGTACCTGTGGAGACCCGGGCTCTTTCCATGTTTAAGATTAGTGAACCTTTTTGAGGATTAAAATTTCGGGCTCTTTTCATGTGCTCCGTCAAAAACTGCCTTGGGTTATCCCGCAGTGACTCCAGTGTTTTTGCTGTTCCACTATTGAAAAATTTACTGAGAACCAGTTATGGTCGCGAGCTTTACACATCAGAAAATTATTTTCTTTGTTTGGTATTATTTTATTATTTAGCATTTGACAGTAAAGTGTTTCACTTTTGTTACGATTTGATATTTTTCCTACTTTTTTACCAAATATACTCTGAAAAAACCTGAACCAGGAATACATTTTAAAAGCAATCCTTTCAAATCAGAAAACTAGTTTTTTATCCATTAGTGGTGGTCTTTAAAATCTTTAATGTCAAAAATATCACCTACAACTTAATACGATTACCACATTAATGTACGATACATTACCAACATCTTTGTCAACAATTATCACGATCTACTATATTAAAATCTTAAAAGATGGATTCTTATCACTCAAAATATTACTAACATAATACCTTTGACTATAATACCTAAACTAATTATGGAAACATTTGAATTATTTTTAAACACTCACAAACTCAATGTAAAATTTTCAATGTTGTTTTCAATATTAAAATGGCTCATCGTTACTAGCCATCGTATCTTCGGCACTCAATTTAAGCTGAAGTGGTTTTCTGATACCATTAATCACTCACACTCCAATACTGTTTGAAACGGTTGACAACAATTTTGACAGGTTGAAAGTAAACAGATTCTAAATCTATTTATTTTTCTGTTTTTTTTTACAATAATTTAGAGGATCTATATACATCCTACATATCCTAAAGTAAATGCTCTACAACTTGCATGCATGGCCGTATTTAAGTTCTTATTCAAGACTTAGCATGAGTAAGTTAGCCTTACCTTGTAAGTAGTTTGAGAAAGCATCCAAAGCCACGACATGTGGCTACCTCCGCGGTGTATGTAACTGTCATCCTGCTACCTCATCACTAACTGCAACATAAAATATAACTGTCACCCTTCTACCTCATCACTAACTGCAACATAAAATATAACTGTCACCCTTCTACCTCATCACTTATTGCAACATAAAATGTAAATGTTATCCTTCTACCTCATCACTAACTGCAACATAAAATATAAATGTCACCCTTCTACCTCATCACTAACTGCAACATAAAATATAACTGTCATCCTTCTACCTCATCACTAACTGCAACATAAAATATAACTGTCACCCTTCTACCTCATCACTTATTGCAACATAAAATGTAAATGTTATCCTTCTACCTCATCACTAACTGCAACATAAAATATAAATGTCACCCTTCTACCTCATCACTAACTGCAACATAAAATATAACTGTCATCCTTCTACCTCATCACTAACTGCAACATAAAATATAACTGTCATCCTTCTACCTCATCACTAACTGCAACATAAAATATAACTGTCATCCTTCAACCGCATCACTAACTACAACATAAAATGCAACTGTCACCCTTCTACCTCATCACCAACTGCCACATAAAATGCAACTGTCATCCTTCTACCTCATCACCAACTGCCACATAAAATATAACTGTCATCCTTCTAACTCATCACTAACTGCAACATAAAATGTAACTGTCATCCTTCTACCTCATCACTAACTGCAACATAAAATATAACTGTCATCCTTCTAACTCATCACTAACTGCAACATAAAATGTAACTGTCATCCTTCTACCTCATCACTAACTGCAACATAAAATATAACTGTCATCCTTCTAACTCATCACTAACTGCAACATAAAATATAACTGTCATCCTTCAACCGCATCACTAACTACAACATAAAATGCAACTGTCACCCTTTTACCTCATCACCAACTGCCACATAAAATGCAACTGTCATCCTTCTACCTCATCACCAACTGCCACATAAAATGCAACTGTCACCCTTCTACCTCATCACCAACTGCCACATAAAATGCAACTGTCATCCTTCTACCTCATCACCAACTGCCACATAAAATGCAACTGTCACCCTTCTACCTCATCACCAACTGCCACATAAAATGCAACTGTCATCCTTCTACCTCATCACCAACTGCCACATAAAATGCAACTGTCACCCTTCTACCTCATCACCAACTGCCACATAAAATGCAACTGTCATCCTTCTACCTCATCACTAACTGCAACATAAAATATAAATGTCATACTTCTACCTCATCACTAACTGCCACATAAAATGCAACTGTCATCCTTCTACCTCATCACCAACTGCCACATAAAATGCAACTGTCACCCTTCTACCTCATCACCAACTGCAACATAAAATGTAACTGTCATCCTTCTATCTCATCACCAACTGCAACATAAAATATAAATGTCATACTTCTACCTCATCACTAACTGCAACATAAAATGCAACTACCTCATCACCAACTGCAACATAAAATATAAATGTCATCCTTCTACCTCATCACTAACTGCAACATAAAATATAAATGTCATACTTCTACCTCATCACTAACTGCAACATAAAATGTAACTGTCATCCTTCCACCTCATCACGAACTGCAACACAAAAAGTAACTGTCATCCTGCTACCTCATCACTAACTGCAACATAAAATATAACTGTCATCCTGCTACCTCATCACTAACTGCAACATAAAATATAACTGTCATCCTTCTACCTCATCACCAACTGCCACATAAAATATAACTGTCATCCTTCTAACTCATCACTAACTAAAACATAAGATGTAACTGTCATCCTGCTACCTCATCACTAACTGCAACACAAAATGTAACTGTCATCCTGCTACCTCATCACTAACTGCAACATAAACTATAACTGTCATCCTTCTACCTCATCACTAACTGCAACATAAACTATAACTGTCATCCTTCTACCTCATCACTAACTGCAACATAAACTGTAACTGTCATCCTTCTACCTCATCACTAACTGCAATATAAAATGTAAATGTCATCCTGCTGCCTCATCACTAACTGTTTGAAGCATAAAATGTACCTGTCATCCTGCTACCTCATCACTAACTGCAACACAAAATGTAACTGTCATCCTGCTACCTCATCACTAACTGCAACATAAACTATAACTGTCATCCTTCTACCTCATCACTAACTGCAACATAAACTATAACTGTCATCCTTCTACCTCATCACTAACTGCAACATAAACTGTAACTGTCATCCTTCTACCTCATCACTAACTGCAATATAAAATGTAAATGTCATCCTGCTGCCTCATCACTAACTGTTTGAAGCATAAAATGTACCTGTCATCATGCTACCTCATCACTAACTGCAACTTAAAATAGAACTCTCATCTTTCTACCTCATCACTAACTGCAATATAAAATTCAACTGTCATCCTAGTGTTATATATAGGCAATGCTGTTATCCTTCTGGCTCATCGCTAACTGCAACATAAAATGTAACTGTTATCCTTCTACCTCATCCCTAACTGCAACATAAAATGTAAATGTAATTTTACGTCCGATTTTAACCCTCACTAAGGTGATCAAAGAGTAAAAAAAAGCCGTTAAACATACCCGTACACTTTGCTGTAGACAATTCTCAAAAGCTTTCTAATATTTATAGTCAGTATACCGAGGCAATGTTGCAGACTTATCTCGCTGAACTGACAATAACATTAAATGTCAAGGGACGCTTCTGATGCTCATTCCTGTCACCCTTCACGACCAAACATGGATTGACGACAATAACACACATTGTGAGAAGGGAGGACATTAGGGGGAGGGATTTCATGGACGTTTGTTTACCAATGATTACTGATTAATTAAAAAAAAAATAGGCTAGAAATTTCAGTAAAGGCTGAGTAAAATATTTTCACGTCAAAAAGTTGCATTTCAGCTCTTTTATGTGAAATTCGCAAAATCGTAAGGTTTCCAATTTGGAATCTATCTATCTATTTATCTTCTATATATTAATTAGGCAAGCATGTTTCTGTTAAACCTTTTTTCTCAGCTCGTGTGCATCGCAGGGAAAATCTATGAATACTGTTGGAAAGATATTTTCCTGTAGATGTGCAGAATCCCTTCATAAATTAAAATAGGCTCAAAAATAACCACAACAAATGAATTTAAATTTAAAAAAATTAATATTGCCTTTATGGGTTGCCATGCTGGTGACGAAATAACAACGCAATATAAACAGAAAATCAAAACAAATGGAAGACATTCCAATCACATGTTTTATTTACAGCGTGTTATGAAAATAGAGAAGTCTGTACATTAAAAATGTTTGGTCGAGTTTTCGACCACTGGACGATCTCTAGTAACTATATAACCATCATTAAAGCTTTACAAATAAGTGTACCGGTATGGTTTTTTTCGCGTTTAGTATTAATTACTAACTAGTACTAACTAAATTACTAACTCCCCATTACCTACTTCAAACTTCTCCGGCTACCTACATAACCAACCTAAGAAAAGCTTCAATAATTATTCGTTCAACAATTTTCAAACCTGTTCTTCCAGCGACAAAAAATTGACACAGCACGGCATCAAAGGCTTTGCTAAAGAACAATGCTTTATGTGTTTTCTATTCAAGAAATGTAGGTGGCATTGCATCGGTTGGAATGCCAATTAAATCACTGTCTTCCACATTCTCTCGACAGGCTTGTCCACTTGTCTAGAGACTGGGCTGACCGCCAGAGATTCTTAGCGTGGTTTAATTGTTTGCTAATGGATTTATTGTATTGTGAACAGTATAACATTTAACCTTTAATAATCTCAATCTTTTCCTCAATTTGGAAACCCAAAGTAATAGTACAGAAGCAGCATGACTTTAAAAACTGTGTTTTGATCTTTTTTAATCGAGATATAGTTTAAATACCGTGAAGTTATACGCCCAAAAATTAGTTTGAACACAATTAATCTAAGTAGTAGAACCATGTACAAAAATATTATAGCTTTCCCGCATGAAATGTTTAGGGAGTTCATGTTCTCCAGAATTTATGCTATGGCATTTTATTTATTTTGTTTTACCACATCTGTATTCATAACCCCTAATGATTGCGATAAAAAACTATTTACGAAACATTTTAAAATTTTACAAAGGTAATTGGTAGACTTCCGTATCTGTCGTCAAAAACAACAGAATGAAAATATCGATCGATATATCGTTTGGTTAGTTGGGTTAACCAAACGATGTATCGAATGAAATAATCAATACATCGTATAATTTTGCATTCTGTTGTTTTTTACAAAAAAAGTTCAATAAAAGAGATACTTAAACTTCTATTATTACCAAAGTTCGTACAAATTAAAGAACTTACTTTAGAACCGTGGTAAAACAGCATGTGCTACAGTGGCTATACACTACATCCAACTATAGTCATCCTGTGTTGATGATGTCAGCGGTGTGTTGAGAATATTAGATTGCAGCCTCTCAACTATCATAAACATTGCTAAGTAGGCTTTACAGTGTTGTGATCCCCTCGTCTTACATCATATTAGACACCACCTGCACGGCTGCACCAACTCACAAACCTAACGATTATGAAACATGCTGACATTTGGCGTAAGACTGATAAAAATATAGAAGGTGGTTCGAATAGGAGAGGGGTATGAGAGACGATGGAGGCAGATGTGTGTTTGTAAATTCATTTTCAAGGAGAAATCAAATATTTTATTTGTATCAATATTTTTAACTAGCAACCCTTTGAGCGTGTTAAATTTTGAAAACGAAAAGTTTATTTGGTGTATGAATTATTTTATTCACGGTTAATTGAACAAAAATATGTTTAAATAAGGGAGAAGGGAGGTAGCAGAATTTTACATTGTCTAACGTAGTTTCTCCATCAAGAATTTAAGATCAGAAAATTGACGTGGTTTAATAAGATTCGCGGTTTCCCGATTTGTTGAAAAACTAAATCTATAAGTACCGGTATAAAAGAGGATGTTTGTATGTATCTATATATATAAAAGGCAAAGCCCTCACTGACTGAC